CTGAGCGCGCCCGCACACCACCAACACTACTTTACTTTCACTTTAATTTTTAATAAATACAAAAAAAAAACATATACACATTGAAACAACAAAAAAAAATTAACAACAAAATAACGTCAAAGTTGTGCATGTTATTTTGTTGCTAGTTCGTGTTGCCGGCGAGAGCCGCTCCGCGCCGCAGGATCTTATTTTTTTATATGTGATTTTATTACCAAATTATAACATGTATATCTATAATTTAAATTGTACTCTTACATCGTTTTAAATAGTGTGTTTATTTTTACGTTAATTGTAAATTAGTGGAGGAGCGGCGCGGGCGGAGCCGCGGGCCGAGCCGAGCGCCGTCGGATAAGTTTTGTACATAAGTGTATGTAATGTAGGTTGCACATGTATCATAATAAATAGATTATTGGATGTGATAGCACATATATGACGAATGGCGGAGGAACGTCTGCGTCAGTCGGAGTACCGGCGCCGACACTTTCAGCGTTACATTTATATAAATGAAAAAAAAATGACAAAATCACGAAATTGTAAATAAAAACTAATATACGGAAAGGAAAAGCGCGCTTGCGAGAGATGTGAGGCGAGGGGCGGGGAGGGGGCGGGGGCGACCAGATCAAAAATTGTCCTGATGCATTCTCACGATCAGTATGTCACATTATTACGAAAGATTAGATGTATAGATGGTTGTTTGTTAGAGATTGTAGCCTAAATTGTTGAACGGATCTCGATGAAAATTAGCATAAATGTAAACGAGTCTGGAAGAACATGTTACTATAATTCCTCCTTCTGCTTTTTTTGTAATTCCACACAAACGGATCCGCGAGCGAAATCTAGTAATACAAATGCTAAAGTTTGCTGATAGGTGTTTGTAATTGGGTAACTTCAAAACCGCTAAACACATGTTTCGTATACATTGCAGTCTTCAATCTTCAAATTCTTCAATCAATAGAATAACAAATAACATAAAGCAATAAATCAAAGTTATTGTGTAAAGGTTGTGTGCCCCCC